CACCAACAGCCGTCCTCCCTCTGCCCTGGCAAACCAGGCAAGCCCCTGTTCCTCCACACAAACACACTCAAAAAAAAAAAAATACATAAGAGTTCAGAACGTGCAGCAAGCACAGGTTGGTAACTGATAAGATTGTTTAATTTTGGGTTTTTTTTTTTTCAGAAGTCGCCTACGCCCAATTTAGCAGCAACAAGGAATTATTGGGTTCACTACTCAGAGGTTGTATGGAGCCATGTCCCAGAGTCTGTAGAGCACTGACCACCAAAGGAAAGGTCAGGCATACAGTGTTAGGACTGCAAAAACCTACAAATACATCCTCGATCTCCATTTAAGAACTAGATACTTTTCTAGCAGCTGGATTCCCTCACCTAACATCACTGGGACACACCACAGCAGCTAAGCATAGTGTTCAATCTTTTGAACCAGAGCTTAATCCACAGTTAATCTGTGGGGGGGGGACACACAGGTAACAAACCCATCCCCCATTTCCCCAAAATAGCCTCTCCACGCCTCTCCTATGTGTGACTACTTCCCCTCTTCCTTTTTTATCCCTGAACTCGTTTTCCTACTTTTTATGCAATCTAAACGTGACACTGCTGATTATTTTCACCTCTGGTGCCGAGTACCGATGCTCACACACACACACAAATGCATCACGGAGGTTTTCCTTCACATCTGGCATCAGCAAATCTGCATTTGCAAATACCTGCTAAATAACAGATGGCTTCCAACGTGAACAGCCGCCTCCTTAGCTTTGGATGCATCCAGCACGCATGCGTTCTGTTAAAGCTCCACCATCTCCAATGTATTTGATTTCTATCAAGACTACACAAAACTCGTTAATAGCGCAGATAACAGAGTTGGCAATGGAGTGTTTTGTTTGAACCCCCGCCATAGCTTTCTATGAAGAGGGCTCCTGACAGGGCACAGGCTTTTCAAGAAGCAAAACAAACAAAAACCAAACGTTACTCTTCCTTTACACAGTTATTCCTACTGGCGATGTCTGGACTCTGGTGGAGGCCTGCCAAAATTCAGCCCCATGGTGCACAGCACTAGTGAATTCCCAAAGTCAACTAGGGATGTGTTGAATTCCTGTATCCTGCCTAGACCACATATTTTTACATGTGAAGATCCTACCGTGAATAGAAAAAATTGATTTGCAGTTTGGAGGGGACATTAAGTGAGCTCCACGAGACACATAAAATTATGAGGGAAGGAAAAAGATAGCTCCGGTGGAGCTATTTGAGTTAGTGCCAAATATGAAAGCACGGAGACAAATCTGAGCCAAGAAAGTGCTGGGTACTACCACAATCCTCCTTGCATTTCTTTTCACAGAGTTTAGACAGTGCCTTTGGACACCCTCTTACTACTCTCTTTGGAAATCAAGTCTATCAAGTGATAGCATTGGCAAAAGAAGACTGAGTTATATTAAAGGAGCATAGCATCTAGTCTTGGTGCCCACATATTTAAATAGACTCAACGGCATCTTTTTATTTCTGTATGTTCCAGAAGCTCCATTTCCCCAGCGTGAAAAAGAAAAGTCCCCAGAAGAAACACTAGCTTCCATTTTAAATACATCAATAATATCTATTTTCTCTTGAAGAGACAGCCTTCCAACCATCCTCCCAAAATACCTTCTTCTTCCTGACTCCTAGCACGCTACACAAATACAAAGTTAAGATACCAGAGCTCCTTTCCATTCAAACCCATAACAGGGGATGACAAGCAGAGCTCCCCAGCAAGGTACCTGCTGACATAACTGCTTTGTATGACGTGGCATGGCGATGGGATCCAACCTCTGGAGATCCAGCAGCAGATTCCAGCTTGAACACCTCCCCTTAGGCCCAACCTACCCCTTTTCTCTTCCTCACACACCCACATGGTGCCCGTCTCTTGCTCTGATGACCTGACCAGACATAAAATGTGCAACCAGCCCGCTCCTCCGACATGACCCAGACCAGAGCAGCAGTTCCAGGACAACATGCAGCAGCTCCAGCTACTCGGGAAACATTTGCCGTGCAAACGGCCATGCCCCATCTGCCCTGGGAGGAAGACCCCGAGGCCTAATCCAGCCAGAGGACTGCAAACTGGAACCGGTTGTTAGAGGGAACATTAGCAGGTTACAAAACAAAACCCAAAAAAACCCCCTACGGAGCTCACAAGTGCCAAAAATCAGTCTCCAGGAAGATTTTTCCAGGAGGTTTGGATTAACAGATAAAATTAGAACAGTACCATTTGGTGCAGTAGGTGGTGACCAGACACCGAAGTATTTTGGCAGATATTCCCGCAGCTCCAGAAGAATGCTGTCGCAACAGTCGGAGTCATAAACCTGAAATAAATTAGGGAGGGGCGGAGAGATCATCAGTTTAAAACATTCGTTTCATACTTCTAATTGTCCCATAATTATAATTACTCAGTCTTTGTTTTCATACGTTTAAGATTTCTCCCTTACATTTTAAAGACATACAAAATGCAGATGATAATTATCACAGTCCAACATAAATTAACAGCGTCCTTTCTTTCAAATTTTCAAGTGGAAAAGATGTACCAACTCTACCTAAGAATAATTCATGGCTTAACTTGAATAAAAATCTGAACTCTAGTTGTTAGCATTGAAGCCCATTTAGAGAAAAGGGTGTTCTCCCATCCTGGATCCAAGACCGTACAGGTCTTCGTATAGCCGAAGCTTTTTAAGCTATATCAGGTAAAGCATACAAGCTCAGACTGGGTAAGGTTTCCTCGTTTCCTCCACAACAACTCATCCTGTAACTACATCACACAGACAACGCACAATTCAAATTTAGATCTTTCCATTTGCTTTAACGCTTTCAAATATTTTTTTTTTTTTTTCAACTTCTGTAAGAAAAACAAGAAGAGTCTGGGAACAGCAGCTGGTTTATATTTCTGAAGGAGTAATTCTTTGCAGACTGAAAGCGAAGCCTCGGATACTTATCTGCTACGGAATCGCATGACTATCACAGGTTTGCAGTGGTGGTGTGAAGAGGCTTTCAAAACCATTCCCCTGACCAGATTCCCCCACCCCACCCTGGTTACAGACATAGGGGATAGCCTACAGCGCGGCTCAATGTGCTTTGCAGACTTCAAAGATCCATACCCACACAAGTACAGGTTACCATGATTATTACTGCCATTAAAACCCATCCCGTCCGAATCCCCTCGCAGCTATCCTGGTCCCGACGCTATCAGGCTGGCGCCCTGTCCTTCAGCCCTGCAGCGGCCGCACAGCAACGCCCACGGGTGCCGGGGACGAGTGACCAGGGCAAGCAAACAATTCTGCTTTCATTTCAGAGCCCGCTGCAAAGTCAGAAGCAACGCAAAAAATGATTTAAGGTGTTAACAGAGCTCTGCGGAGTTTTCTCAGCTCAGCGCCTCGAGATCCACACTTAACCATGGTGTGAGAGTATCTTGCGGTGGAAACTACGAAGGGTAGGTATCGCAAGATACGTGCCTTTAGCGTTGTAATATTGATACATCTGGGGAGAAAAACCCCAGACCTGAAGTCCAGCTACTATTTTAGAGCATCAAGGCAAGCCTCGGCTACCATCACCGGCGCCGTGTAACTCTAGACAGAGCCTCCCTCATGCAGCGGCAGAATGTTAAAATTAGTCAGTGCGGGTTTGTGCTAAATTTAGGTTTCATCGCAGAAACCTCAAACCGGGCAAACTCAAATCACCAGCGTGCTTCAAACGCACGGCGTTGTTCCATAGCCCTTCAGGCACATCTAATACGGCGCGCTCTGGGGCTTGGACCAGCCTTGGACCAGGTTCTGACACCTTCATGGCAGCACTGTTACCAGGCAGTGACTGAGAAGGCGAGAACCACCAAATCCACGCCGACGTGACGCTAGAACATTTAATTTCACCCGTTCCTTTACCTAGCTCACGGTGTAAGCCCCGGTTTAAAGATCCTAAGGAGAGGGCTGACTCCTCAAAGCTCAAACCACACAAATACGTGTAACAGCACGATGCAAAACACTGATGCCCGCCTACCGCCGCACCCTCTACCACTACTGTTGCTATCTGAAGCATACAGGAGTTGCTGGGCGTGTATGTTACAAGTCAGTGTCACATCACAGGGCACTGATCCTTTCCCACACGTCCCGGTTAGACAAGCTGGCATGACCTCTGGGGACGACGAGTAATTGTACGTCTAGGCCTATTTTTCCTCCATGTTAACACAAGCTGGCATGCTGACATTCTTGTGCTCTTAAGACAAAAAAACCTTGCTTGTCCCTGGGATCAGTGGCTGCTGTTTATTTTTATTTATGCAACTTTTCCTTGCTGAACCTCAGATGTTGCCAGCAGAAGACAGCGCTTTCCCCAGAAGACTGCAACGTAGCTTGATCTTACCAGCTTAAGAAAGGGGAAAAAAAAGAAGGATTAGCACCACACAGATGCAGAGGCGCAGACCCATCCACTGCTATCTTTTGTAAGAGAATTCACTGTTCCCCACCATAGGGACGGCTGTTTCTGGGCTGGGATGCCAAGCACTGACTGCTGGAATTACTTCACACTGTGGGTATTTTCAAACAAGGAATACAAACCCAATTTTTGTTTACTGTGGTAGTTTGGTATCATAGCACCTCACAGCCAAGACAGGGAGTTGCTCTGCTCCCAGCACAAATACTCGTTTCCCAGGTGAATTTAAGCAGATCTGAGAGGCAGCGACCATCACGCCATTTCACAGCCTTTACATGGGAGCAAGTAAAAATAAGTATATAAATATATATTTAGGACAGGATAAAGAGGAAAGAGGTAGAAGCTAAAAGTGTAGCAGACAAGGAAGAGAAACATTGAATGCAACTGAAAAAAAAAAAAACCAAAACAAAACAGGCAAGCATACTAAGAATTCATTTGTTTAATTTATTGGCAAAAAGATTCTGAGAAAGTGACACATTAGGTGACCACTTCCATTTTTTAAAGAGACAGTATTCTTGCTTTGGCTGACTTTTTAATCACCAGCATTAGGTGATTAAACTTAGCAATTGAGCCAGTGACTACAAGCATGCTCCTGTGTATTTCAAATAGAAGGGTACAAGAAAGATACTCAGATAATTTATAATGGGGTGTAATAGCCCAAAGTCAAGGCCAAATGGGGGAAAAAAGCTCCAGGAGTGATATCTTCCAAGTAGTCTGTCCTTTAATACACTGATAGAAGACATTTGAAATGGAGACAAAACTCTCAGTAATGCATTGTTCGGTATCATTACGGCAGCATAACAGAACTAAGTGCATTACTTCTGCCTCTCGGGAGGTTATCTTGCTCCCAGAAACAGTAATAAACTTCCCTCCGAAGTTTGACGTAACCTATACAAACCACTTATTTGACCTTAATAGAGACCTCAATCTCAGCCTGGAACGTCTTCGCATGTCAAACAAGAACAAGCACTCGGTTAATAAAGACCAGAGGAAGTCATTTGGTGTGGGTAAAGCAGCAAAACCAGACATTTCAGGAATTCTGCTCCTTCCTATGCAGGAGAGCTCATTAGAGAGGGGCCTCGTAAACAGCACCCAGCCCACAGGCATTTATTTTTTTTCCTCATTTCATACAATCTGGCACCAAGCTACACACTGAGATGTCATTCAGAATGCCAAATATAAATGTATGCATGATAAAAATAAATGTGTACATATATAAAAGTATATGTGACAAAAACCATCCCTAAAATTACACAGGAAATAAACCGTGCACCTCATGCCCCAAAAGGTATCACTACCAATATTGCTGGCAAACTCACAGGAGACAGGTTATTGCATACCCCAGAAGGACCTTTAAAAATAAACCGTTATATTTTCACAGAAGTAAATACTATTTGACATAAGTAAACATCAGCAATACTCCAATTTCATTTCAAGCAGCTGCACTTCTGTTTTTAATGCAACAAGAGGTCCATTTCTCCAGCACACGCTGGCAAATTGAAGTTATTTCTGCTTTACCGGTAACTGTACTTAACGTCTTCATCCAACAAATCAAGAACTGCAAAACAATTCAGTGTCAGCCCAGCCAGGGGAGGCATCCATTCCACATATTACAGGCTACATTCTTTCAATAGCACAAACTGGAGACATAAATGTAATAACTGTTGGGTTTAAAAGCACGTAAACAGGATGCTGACATTTGGAGGGCTCACAACATGACCATTACAAATTACTGCAATTAACTCATAGGAAGAATATGCCCCAGATATGTCCTGTGGCAGCTCAGATAGCCTAATAGACACCACAAAGTCATAATTTCCAGTTACTCAGGACTTTTTAATTCCAAGGCGAATCTACCATCCCTTAGTTTTTAATCCAAAGTACACTCTGTTTGTTTTGCTAAGTCTGATCCAAACAGATTCATCTGGTTTTTAATGCAAACAGGGGCTGCTTGGGAGAATGGGAATGTTCCTTTTCCTTATTTAAAGCAGCATGACATTTGGGGGTTTTTGTTTTCTAAAGACTAGCTAATCGCATAAACGACAGAGGGAGGGTAAACCAAATGTTTAAATTTCAACAGGAAACTGGTTCTGGCAGTACGGACCCGTCTTAATTGTCCCGTTGAAAAAAATACCACTTTGACAGAAACGTAGTCGAAAGAGAATCTCCTAAAGTCCATAAAAGAGTTGATTTAAAAGAATGTATTTTTAAATTCACATTTATTTTAAAGCTATTGGAGTCAGAAACTTTAAACGCCGGAGTAGGCAGTCTGAAGCATCACCTTTTCTTGTTGCTGGCTATCGTAAATTGTCGCCAAAGGCAGCAGCAGGATAGCTTGCAGAGCCTCAGGATACACAACCAGCTGCCAACATCTGGCAGCGAGTTCAGCTTCCAGTGGTTTTTTTGGGGAGTTCTTGATGAGTGGGGAGCAGTTAATAAGCCATGCACTCAAATTAGCAAGTGCAAGATTTACAGATGATAGTGCAACCTTAATTCTGTCTCCCGATGGGTACGCGTTATAGTACAGACTTTAATTACTCGAGCGCACGCTGCATTTCCCTCCGGACTCCTCCATCACCCAGTTACACCAGGCAAGTACAAGGGCCAAAAAACTGAGGTTGAAACAGCAGCTGCGATTTGAGCAATTGATAACTGCTTGGCTTTACAACTCGGAGAGCCCTTGCTTCTTTTTCAGAGCAGTACCATCATGTTTTCACTTGCAAGCGTCTGCAGTATTTGTTTCCACAAAAATGTCTGGAATTGAGCCAGCTCTGCATACATTCAAAATATCTGATACCAGAGTAATTCCAAAATATATGTGAATGCTGTTATGCTACATGCTGCTATACTGAATTGCTTATTTTACTATCCAATATATAGCTGTTCTATA